ACATTGAATTCAACAAAAATATTGTAGACTCAGGGCCTATGCAGATTTTTTCTTTGATTAAAAAATAAATTTGATTAGATTAAAGAAAACTGCTTGTTGCTTTGGCTTGGAAATCATCTCTTGCTTTTTAAATTTATCCACGTATCGTAAAACAAATATTATCAATCGTACCATAAGTACTCAACAGGGGACTTATGTTCTTCGCAAATTGGTGCATTTAATATTTTGGATTCTCGTAAATCTATTGTTGGTTCCAAAAACATATTATTCACATCGATTCAATTAAAATTATTTAAAGGGCAAACATGTATTAAATTAGAATTTTCCTGATTGATTTCAATAATTTTAATAATTCCAAATCTTCTGCACCGAGCGTTTCTACCTCCAGCTCTTCAATAACTTCTTCCTCTGACGAATCCTGTATGTAATGTAATAAAATGGCGGTCCACACATAAACAAAAAAAGCAGATAATTCCCAAAAGATTTTTTAATCAAAAAGCAAGGCCCTTGTTTCTAATAACAACTTTGTAGAATAAACGCTGCTGTACATTAGAAACAAAGATTTTTTTTTCTTAAAAATTCAATGCATTTGATTCTAAGTAGTTCTATCCCTCAACTCAGACTCTGTAAAGCACTCATGGATCCAAGCTATTCAGCGGTATGCGTCCAGAAACTACATTTGTATGGAATTAAGATTATTCTACCATATAGATGTTTGGTTATAGATATTCCGCGAGGCCGGCATCTGCGATCAAATATGAAACCTGCCAAAATCCCGACCACCGCAATACCATGGACTTTCTCTTATCACCCAACATCTCAAATAAAAGCTTAACAATCAAAACTCCGACGAAAGAAAGCACAATGACAACTTCAGTACTTAACTAGACCCAACCAATCTACCTCACGATTCAGACTGGTATCAGCAGATTAGATTGGTATATCTGTCAGCGAGGCGTCTTAAACATTAATGATTGTAAATATTCGACCTAATTTAAGGTAATATTGATTGTCTAAAATTGTTTATAATATGTACATACATACGATATCAACGGAAATACCCTAAGCTGCAATATGGAGCCAATGTTTCTAATTTGGAAAAAGCGCAGCGAGTAAATTCAATCTTTATATTATGCTATAAAAGTTACCCGCATTATCAAAGATACCAAGTTTTACGGTACGTTTTTCTGCTCAACAAGCGATGTGATGTGGTAGCGTTCCACACGTGCTTTCTATGTGCACTCACACTATCATAACATGCTTTTTTTTATTTATTTGTGCAGGCTCAATCGAATAAACTTTACAGAGCCAAATTATCTTTTGCGTTTGTCTTAAATCTAATGTTAAAGGAATTGAACCGAGTACTCGCGGTCGTCTCGAGATTAGAAGAGATTTACAGTTTTATGGATGGGGAGAGGGAGAAGGAGGTTTGAAGTATCATAACATGCTTTCTATCTTAACTGCAGGGAGAAGATGCCTTCTACCGCTAGGTGTGCTAGTGTTCGCCAAATAATAGTGGAGCCACTTTCTGATCCGGAGTTACACGTCATTTCTGTGATGTCATGTTAACTGGAGTTGATGATGAAAGTAGCACGTCAAACATGCATGTGCGGTTGTGTGAGTCTGTTTGTGCGCACGTGAAATGGGTCTACGTGATTTACACGTATGAAAAAGTGATTGAATATGGCACCATTGAGTTCATTAGAAGATGAGTTTTGGATTTCCTAACACTTTGCTGCATATATTAAAAGTTGTTTTCTATGTTATTTTAATGTAAATGTCGGTTATTCTGATTGCATGTTTATGACTTATTATGCCAGATTTTTCTTTAAATGAAGTATACGTACTACAAAATGTGGCTGATTTCGGCTGATAGTAGAACAACTTTTTAACACGCAGTTCAAATGCAAAGGAAGCCGAAAAAAAAACTGCCAACAATAGTCACACTTAAAGAGACTTAATTGGGTAAAGAGGCAACATATTTATAAATTCAGTATATTTAGTCACACTCACCTGAGTAGTTTGGAGCGTTGTAAAAACGCTTTCAAACAGTTTTGAACAATTCTGTCGATTAGAATGCATAGAGAAGGAAGCAGCAGATGAATGTAAACAAACATACACGTCATATACGTGACACTGAAAAAATGCTGCTTCGGTTGTCGAGAATACGTAAATTCCCCCACATCATTTGGAGACCGCACACATAAATGATGTTACAAGCTGAAATCAATAGCATAACTCTGAAGCAGACAGCGCAAACGGATATTGCTTCTGAGTGGTCCTGATCAAATCTTGGCGGCAACGACATTTTTAATGTTAAATTTTTAATTAAATCTTGACAGAAAATAGAGAAATGCTTGATGTATTCAATCATATTCTTGTTTTCGTTCGAACCGTATTTTTCATACAAAAAAAAAAAAAAACAAGAATATGGGTGATTATTAAAACAAAGTGTATGAAATGTTTCAATATTCTTTGCAGGCAAAAAAATGCTGTCAACGGCATTTAAATTTCACGTAAACATTACGTGAAAATCCTTTCCAACATTAATAAAAATCGTGGAAAGTAAACGTAACCATAATTTTTCAGCATATATCATTTCAAAATCTCGTAAGCATTCCAACTTAAGTAGAAATCACGTATATTTACTTTACTGTTCACGTTGACCACTAAATGGGAATATTTTTTGGCTACATGACGTTAACGTAAAGGATACATGAAAAGTAGTATGGACGATTAAATATTAAAGAGCTGTCCATAGTTGGATGGTGTTGAACTTGGGCGGTGCACTGGTGCACACCATTTTATGTGAGTACCCAAGTAATCATACTGATCAAATCACAAAACAACTTTAAATGCCGGTTCAGAGTGAGACTGCAACTGCGACACGATATGGTTAGTTAGGTATTTAGATGAAACTATTACTTCAAAAAACTAATCCTGGTTGTATTACTTTTTTGTTTGCATGTAACATTATTTGATATTACTAACCATATGATGCACCGAGCGTTCATTCCGGGTGGTGAGCGAACCAAAAGAAGAAGAAGATGACTATACAGTATAAGTGGTACCAAGGTGCTTATATAAGCAGCACCTTGCTTTCAACCAATTGAGTTGATTTTTGGAATGTAGGGGAAATGCATGTAATGTCGGCCTAAGTGTCCCTAATTTGGGCCCATACATAAATTCAGCAATCGACTAAATTTTCAATAGCAACCAAACATATCCATTAGTAACGTCCCAATAACGCGTTCATCTTGATAAAATTGATAAATAGCAGATTTTTGGCGATGGGTCCAATCTTAGATCCATATGCCAACATTAGAGACATTTCCCCTATATGAATAAACTACAAACTTGTCACCCACAAAATATCAGCTCAGTTGGTTGAAATACTGCTGGGAAATAGCGGTGCGTAGACGGCACCACCCACCACGCAAATTTGGGAACCCTGTATTACTTTCTTACAGCATAAGCAAAAAAGCAAGAACGGGAACAAACCTATTCTTTGGTACAAGCAATGTAAATATTTACCTTATTTGACAAAACCCAGATAATCATGACAGCAGTAGGTCTCTTTTCTTCATTCCAATTGTTTTCAATAATCAAACGTCACGATTACCTGGGTTTTGTCAAATAAGGTAAATATTTACATTGCTTGTACCAAAGAATTGTGTTTAGCAAACGAAATTGAAGTAGGACGTTATACCATAGAGGTAACTCTAAGACAAGTAGGTCCCGAAGAAACTAGAGTCGGTGTATAATGAGTCACGCCAAGAGTGAAGCCAAGTCTACCTATTGAACTGTCAAACCGGCTACCTATCGTGCAAAGTAAATAAACATTACGATGCTATGAAAGGTCCACGAAAGGTATTGCAATAAAATATAAAATATATAAATTATATAATCGAAGAAATGAGCATAAACACACAGTGAGCGTTAAATTGTCATGGGATACGCTCGGTAATGATTAGTAATGAGAATTTCTACTATTTTTTGTTAAGATAATTTGACAAAATCACTGATATAATGATTTACTACCGTCGCAATATTTTTTCTCTCGCTAGAAGTCATTTGAAGTTGATGTAGAAGTCCTCTGTTGCCAAGTGAAAAGAAAGGGAATCCTTCGAAAACCGTGATGCGAGTTCAACTGTTTTTCTCTTGGCGTGACTCATTATACACCGACTCTAGAAGAAACGTGCTCAACTTTTTGGCTCACCTCTGGTACTATCTTCGGTCCCAAGCTTGTCGAATCACCCCTCGAAACATAGGTAAAACCAATAACCCCTCATTTTATCTGTCAAACTTTCATAGCGAATCAAAACAAACATTGCGTAGTACTAGAATTTCGACTAGAATAGGGTACGTTAATCGTTTGCTTGGGACCAATAGGCTACTAAAGTGGTGAGCCAATTTAAAATCGTTAGTTTCGTATTGATTGTTGATTATACCATTGACAGACATACAAAACAGTACCGTTGTACTTCATTAATCGAGTACCACAAGAGGTACTAGCTTAAAGAAGTACAACGGTAGCACAACCAACAATCAATACGAAACTAACGATTTTAAATTGGCTCACTACTTGACTAGCCTATTGGTCCCAAGCAAACGATTAACGTACCCCATTCTAGTCGAAATTCTAGCACTACGCAATGTTTGTTTTGATTCGCTATGAAAGTTTGACAGATAAAATGAGGGGTTATTGGTTTTTCCTATGTTTCGAGGGGTGAATCGATTAGCTTGGGACCGAAGAGAGTACCAGAGCTGAGCCAAAAAGTTGAGCACGTTATTTCGGGACCTTCTAGTCTTAGAGTTACCTCTATGGTACAACAGTGTACTTTGTATGTCTGTACAAGGTATTAGATCCTCACTTCCTTTACGTTAGATTCGTCAAGGAGTTCGTTTTGACGTAAAATGTTCGGCCTTGACTAATCAAAATCACACGCATATTTTACTATATTTTTATTACAAAAGAGAACCATTGCGCAGCAATAAACTTAATCCGATTTTTCCGACGTTGGCACGGCCTCAAACAGGACCTGAATGAGATAGGTGAGTTTATCTAAAAGAAAAAAAATCATCAAGTAGTTAAATATTTCGTCTAGAGTGAAACTGTTTCAATACTTACTCATCCATTTGGGCCGAATCTTGTAGTAAACGAAGGGCGTGTAGACTGCAACACCGCTCAAGATGAACCCAACGGCGAAGAAATACTTTGGCGACGGTTCAGCGATGATTGGTACCACTGAAAGAAATATGGACACCCCGAGGGCAAAAATTGGCACGAACAATGGCACTTTGTAAGGTCTGTCTACGTTGGGTTGAGTCTTGCGCAGAGTCAGCAGTGCAATGAAGGCCGATCCGTAGAAGAACCATATGAGGAACGAAGCCAGCTCAATCAGTTCCTCAATATTGCCAACCAGGATGAACAAAAGGGCAAGAATACCCTGCATGGCAACTGCCGGTGTAGGTGTCCCGCGGCGCACATGGATGTAGGAAAGCGGCTCCAACATTTGGCCTTCCTGACTGGCGACGTAGCAGAGGCGAGTGACACCGAATTGGATGCTGAGTGCGCAACCGAAGGTGGACAATGCTACGCCAAGCGGAATGAGGAAGGAAAAGGATCCTAGCACTCGATCGCCGAAATCCAGCCCAACGGCTTCCGATTTGATCATCTCCTCCGGAGATAGCACTGTCATGTAGGCCATGTTCATGAACACATACAGACCGGTGATGATCGGTACGGCTATTATGATGGATCGTGGAATATTACTGCAATAGAAGGGATGTTGTTAAGGTGGATGTGATGTTCTTTACTGGGCGTTACTCACACTTCAGGGCGTTTGATCTCTTCCGTGATGGTAGTAACGCTTGACCAACCATCGTATGCCCATAGACCATTGTAGAAGGCAAGTGCTATGTGTCCTGGACCGAAGTTAGTTCCAGCGAATCCTCTTGATAGATTTTCAGTATTTCCGATTGCCAACTGGTAGATACCACCAAAGATTACAATCAGGCATGCAAACACCTTACAGAATCCGAAAATGTTATTGATCGTAACGTATAACTTGACACTGCTTAGATTAATATATGTGATGACTCCTGTGGAGAGAACGGTTACAGTTCAGGATTATGTCACAACCAAGTTGAAAGGTTCGCTTACCTAAACCTAATATGGCTATCAATTTGATAAGATTATGTAGATCCTCTTCAGGAAGATTTTTCAACCCTAGAAGGTTGCTGAAGGGTAAGATTGAGTATTCGGCAAACGTGAGAATTATCACAGCTATTTCGGCCGGTCGCAACACCACCACGTAAACCCAGGCACAAATGAAGGAAGGCAAAGGACCCCAGAATTTGTTGGTCTTCTTGAAAGCTTCAATTAGGTACGCATATTCGGCACCTGATCGTGGAACAACGGTTCCCAGTTCCGCAAAACACAACGCTCCCATTAGTGAGATAACTCCGCACACAGCCCACACAACTAAGCAGAATCCTACGCTTCCGGAGTACTTGAGAGCAGCTGTCGGTGAGACGAATATTCCGGATCCTATCATAACGCTTATGATGACATTGATGGCGGACATCAAGCCCATCTCGCGCTTTAGTCCGCCACCGGAAGGCGCTGCAACTGCGGTCATCGTAATAGTTTTCGTTGAACTCGTCCGGTATCTTCAATAGTGTGATACAAACGAAGGTGATGATTTAGCAGGCGATACTGCCAGCAAGATGCAGCATGGCTTCACTCGCTGTGTATGATCGCTCGAGCCGTTGAGAACTGAAAGGATGCAAAAGTCGTCATTACGCATTGGAAACAGACGCTCGTTGGGCACGTGGGTACGTCGTAGGAATCATCAGATAACGATGAATGTACATACAACCTTGTTCGGAGCGTACAAAACAGCGATACTGAATGGGAAATGTTGACTATTGGCTGCGAGATTTTATCAGGAAGTTTTTTCACACGTTGATAACCACGGTCGCCTACGGCATTTAGTTCACCTTTGGTGTAGGTAGGACACATCTTAATAATGTTACTAAACAACTGCGCTTTAAATATAGAACAGTGTATGGCTAATAATATACGTTCAGACTATAACTGAATATACTGCCTATTATCGCATATCAGCAGGCATGAAAAATCATATGCATTCATTTCGTGCATTCATTTACATTCATTTGCCCTTAACTTTTTTATCTACTGAATTCCGCAAAATGATGAATGGAGCTTTTGTAGGTTTTGTTATAAGCTACAACTTTTGTTAACAACTCAAATCCGAATCTCTTATGTATGACGAACCAGAGCGAACAGAAGCCACTACTGTTTTTCAATGAATGTATTTTACATTCACTGAAAAACAGTAACAAGTACTGCTCGCTCTAATTCGTGATGCATAAGAGATAAAGATTTGAGTTATGGACAAAAGTTGTAGCTAATAACAAAACCTACTAAAGCTCTTTATATCATTTTGCGAAATGCTGTTGATGAAAAAAGTTAGAAGCAAATGAATGTAAATGAATGTAAATGATTTTCCATGCCTGCATATCAGTCCCATCCTGAAATTCAATCGTCCAGAGGGTAAATTACAGTTCTGCTTTTTGAATTGCTGTATTTTGCGCTGATAGGGGTTTGGATCTAATTTCCGTCCTACTAAGCACAACCTGCGTTTTACCTCTCTTTTTTGAACGGGTTTGAACAAAAAATGGAATATTTCTGTCAAAAATGACTTCTAAATTTATTCACTTTTCCATACGTGTACTGTACCGTTGGATTTGATAAAGAGCCACAAATTATTGAGATATTGTTTAATATATAATACTGCTTCTTGATTCTAAATTCGTCCTACGAGTTTCAATTCCGACCTAACGCATTGAAACGCCATTAGATTTTCTTCGTCCTACGGATAAACGTAGAAAAAGGGGATTCGCTAGGAGCGCTTGTTTTGTTTTGAGAACAATGAGCGTAAATATTCATACAATGCGCTCTAATAGGGTTTATGTTGTAGCTAATGAACTAACGTATCGGAACAAACCTATTATTGATGTGTGCGCGGTGAAATAATTTATATTATTGATCTTTTCTGATCGATAGAACGGAAATGGGCGATTACGACGAAGTAGTGCTGAAACAAGGACCATAGTTAGGAATACTATTTTGCAGAAAACACTTATTATCAATATAACCACGCATATTGCTGTTGAATCTACTATGAATTCAGTATAGTCGACTATGAATGTTAACAAATTTACTATGATTCTGGCAAAACTACTATGCTTGCTTAAAATGCATAGTAATTCTGATAGAAATAATAGTAAAATTAAATGAAATTGTTTTCTGCAAAAATCTATTGGTGAGGGTATTTAATCCAAACCATCAATATAGTATTTTTGCCAATGGATTTTGTTTCAGTGTAGGGCTGTTACAGATGATTTTCCTGATTGATAAGCAAACTGATGATTACATTTCAAAAACTTTGATTTAATGTGGTGATCTATAAGCTTTTCCATGACTTTTAGTTTCATGCTTATTCGTTTAAACGATTTTGGTGAAGTCTTGTCTTTCTTATTAGTATTCGGAATAAATACAACACGTATGTTTCACCACGTTCTTGGAATTTAACCAAGTATAAGACTAGTCAGTCTGAACGTACTATAATTCTTAAGCTCTCAATAGGTAATAGGATATTGTCAATTGTGCTCGTTATCGCTTCGTTATCGGTGATTGATGTGAATACATCATTTTCGCGACTCTATTATTTTCTGGTTAAGCTAATGGTCTTAGCTTATCAATATCGATTAGTTCATTAAGTTAATGCTCAGACGGGGACGTTGTGATAGCGTGGATCGTGGAAACGAATGCGCTGTAATTTTGACTTTGCCGCGTGCCAAAATATTGTCAGCTGTCCATCAAGTTGATTGCATCAGCATCTGACCGGCTCATGAACAGGAGACTACAATAACGATGCATCAGAGTGATCCATCCATCATTTTTCATTCTACTTTGCAGTGTACACGCAGTAGATACATGCGTTTTGCTTTTGTTTGTATCAAGATTATAGTTTAGGCTATCATAATCTTTTTTTTTGCGTGAGACGCGTAAAGCAACAACTTGCAAAACAACCATGAACAGTTGTACCACGAGTGAGTGTGCAGTGTGTGATGGTCTTGAATCTGATATAAGTTCTCCATAGCGGTGCAATTAACTTACACCGGAAAAGACTTACTTTTATCTGCTTCAAACACAGTGACACTCAAAAGAAAGATCGTTGCTCTTTTCTTATAATGCTATGCTACACGCCTTCCTGCACATCGTCTTTGAGTGATATGGGTACAATTATTCAGGAAAACTCCAATTGAGTTTGTCAATTGGTGATGAATAAGATGGTAGTAGTTATCGGAGAGATTTTCTCGTTCCATTTACAAAAGGTATTTCAATTGATTGTCACCTAGCGACACGATTCGGCATTGTTGATAAGTAGGTCACGGTGTTCCCGAAAGAAAATTTTATTATTAAAAAAAACAGTATCACGGAAACACCACCAAACGAAAGCTTACGCTCGCCCTTTCATATAAGACTAGTATTAGAATATTCTATTGGGGGTCTAAATACTTAAAACAGATTCTCGAGCTCGGCAGATAAAAATACTGATCTGAAACGGCAATTCATAATTTTGCCGATATTTCGGCAACCACAATATTTTTCCCGAGATCACACTAACACATTTTCTGAAATATCAGCAATTCAATTAATCATGTTTTGTTGTTTTTGACATCATCCACATCCAGAGGGCCAGTCACTTCGAATGTATGGGAATCGTAGGAAACCATTTGGAAACGCAAGGAAATTTTCAGTTTTTATTCATTATCGTCTTTATGGGCAATTTTAGATGCACAAAAACAGCACGAGTACATTCTTATGGTGATAAGGTAAACACTCGTTTATTTGTTTCCTTTTGTAAAAGCATGTTTAGTCACAAATCGTGGATTTTCTGATATTCTCCATACTGCAAAAATGATTTTCCTACCATTGAAGGGGCGACATCTCTCGGATCTTCAGTATAGCTACTACTCAAATCATATAATTAATTAGATGAACCGAAATTCTGCAAAGTAATTTGCTGAGCACATCAGTAAATAGAGATAATACCGAAATCAGCAATTGAGATTTCTGCATTGACGGTACTGAATTTCGGTAATACAGCTGTCACTTTTTTCCACCCACCATTTTTCGTTTTGCGAATCAAAATCGGCTTTAAATCGCGGAATAATGAATCAAGTTCTACCTTCCTTGATTTGTTTTCCGTGCTGAGCACAAATGCTACCGACGCCAGGAAGGCAGCTCCCACTCCTGGACCCTACCTATCGACCCATCAACTCATGAACCGGGGACCAACGGCTTTACTTCCCATCCGAAGGAAGGCGTGATCAGAGATGCTATGCCTCAGAACATCCCGGCGGCGCCGACTGGGATTGAACCCAGGCCTGCTGGGGTGAGAGGTAATCACGCTTACCACTACACCACCGGCGACGCTAGGATCAAGTTCTAGATCAAGTGTTAAAGGAGCACGTAAGGATCTGCAATCTTTTTCGTACGTGCACAATTGTTGTTAATATCGCCAGTATTTTTTAGGATAGGTCGTCTTCAATCTTCTGTTTTTTTGCCGCCAACCAATTTTTGGTTGTTCTGAAGAGTTTCAGCGGCATATACCATATATTTTAAAGCCATATTTTATGGCTTGTTTCCCTAATGCATATCCCAATAAACTTCCTGTGATGTATTTTTATGTTTTTGAATAAATATACAGAATGATAATCCCATTGCAGTGTTTCTTATTTTAACACTATTTTTCACATGACAATATTTGTTTGTTCTTTTTATTTAACCCATGCATTAAAAAAAAAATGCCGATATTCAGTATATTATTTTTTACCGCTGGGATGCTTTTGCCGAGTGATTTTTTTTTACTGAGATTTTTGGCAAAAATTGACAACCTTGAATTTTATGATTGCCGAGATCCCCGGCAAATTTGCTGTTTGCACTCGGTGGTACCGAGATTCGGTGAAATTTTGTGTGTGTGTACACACTTAATTCAGCAAAATTTATGTTTTTTTAGCTGAGATCTCGGCAAAATTTCCGTTTGTTAGCTGAATCTCGGCAAGTTTTTCACTGAGATCCAGCAAAATAAAATGCCGAGCTGCTCGGTGGTGTCCTCATCTCGGCAAAAAAATCTTATACTTTAATCTATGCAAAGTAGTTAAAAATACGCCTAAATGTAGGCAATAATCATCATTTTTTCACATAAAATAATTTTATGTACGAAATCGTTCATTTTAACAGAATCTGGTTTCAGATGAAGTATAATAAATTTTTAACCGTACACTGCACCAGAATAAATGCTGATTCTGATAGGATGGAACAGTTAAAAGTTGCATATTTTATCACTTCCACAATATAGTACATTTAGAGTGGTAAAAATACTAAACAAATTATCTTATAACAATATCATGGAAAAGTATTGTTGAGAAACGAATATTGAATGGTGTAGTGATCAACTTCACCCTGTTTTACGGTACCTGGAAAAACGCAGTCCACCGTTTATTAAGCACTTGTGAAGATTTGGAGAGCTGCCACTACAGCCGGGAGGTACTTCAGTGATACCACGACAACGGGGTGGTTTTAATTGAGAAATACCTTCACTTTCAATTTAATACGTTCCTACTGGGAATTTACGTCGGCCCGCAACTTAGTGTTCTTTGAGCACTTCCACAGTTATAAGCTAATGTAGCCCATTTTTGCTTGTAAATGCTGAATCTGTTCTGCAACTAAAATGGTTAGCTCAATATATCTAAACATTAAAATTTCTGTAATCTAGAATTCTAATAAATATAACATCCTAGAAATTTCACAGCGCAAATAAAAGTTTATCAATACACCATTCCCCCCATTTCTCCGAATTAAAGCTACTCTCGTAAAAGTACAACCTCCCATAGCAACTATCATCTT